ACTGTGTTGCTGCGGCGGCGACTGGACGCAAAAACAAAAATAAAAAAAGGACTGACGTCCATACGCCTATTCTCACCACAACGTATTTTTTCCATTTCCAGTGTGGGGGACAGTTATACACAGGGGCGCCAAAATCCAATAAACAAAAGCAAAAACACTTTCGCTACTTGTAACCTATTTGTAGGGGGTGGCAAATATGTTTATGTACCCGGGTCAGACCCAGTTTATGACAAAAATACCGAAAAAATCCGTTTTCTTCTTTTATCTTGCGTTGATCAACAATGCTTAGAGCTCAAGCACACGTTCCATGTGACTTCATTCGTTCTATGTTTAAAGTAGCGTATCGTATAAGAGAGGGAGTTTAACCCACAGCAGTGGCGTGGATCGTGGCGCACGTGCCGAAGACGACGCCGATGACACCGACTATCAACAGCACGTAGGTGAGGATGTACCTGAGGGGGCCCGCCTTCTCCCAGGAGAAGTCGCCCGAGTACATGACGAGCAGCGCAGGTAGGAGGAACCCAAGTGACCCGCCCGTGATGGAGCCAGCGAAGCCAAGCACAGTGTTGATATTCGGGATGAACAGGCCCATGATCAGCGTGCAGCAGGCAAGAGTTATCACAGCAGCGCAGTGCTTCCAGTAGGGCAGCTCGTCGACATCCCAGCCGATGCTGTGGTAGAGGGGGTTGCGCAGAGACATGGAGAGCAGCGCGTACGAGGCGCACAGCTTCGAGAGCACACCAACAAACGCCACCATAATCGCCGGCTCACTTATCGGGTCGTACGCGAGAAGGATGGACTTATCAAAGCCGTTACCCATGTCAAGGTAGCCGAAGGCAGCCGTCATGGAGTAAAGCACGAAGCACAGGCCCATTCCGATCGCACCGGCAAGAGTGAACCGCGTCTGAGTGGGGTTTTCCATGTCCCAGTACACCTCGTACGCGTTGTTCTGGCAGACGTACGCAAACATGAAGACACCGAGTCCCTCAATCGCCTTGTTTCCGGAGTTGAAGAGCACCACGCTTGCGTCGTCGTCCTTGCCCACGCTGATGTCCTTCACGTTGTCCGGCAGACCGTTCATGCACGAGTGCACGATGATCACCACGACAAAGTACAGCATGAAAGTGACGGCGAAGGTGGAGAAGTAGCGCAGCGAGTCAATATGCTTCGGAATAACGAGCGGAAGCATAATACAGAGCCACACAGCTGACGTCAGAAGGCGGTTGCCGGAAGTACGCTTCAAGAAGTCCGGAGCATCGTCGCTGTGGTCCATAATGGCGGAGAAGATGTCCCCCACGCTGATGACGTACGCGACGCAGCCACTAAGGGAGTGGAACGCGCGCACACCCGCGACGAAGTACTCGAACCAACGGCCCAGCAGCACACGCGAGGCGCCCTCGAAGCTACGGACCTGAGTCCGCTGTGCCGCGATGCAGATGCAGTTCAGTGAGAAGATAGTGGTCATCGTGATGACGGTAAGGTACAGGAGCGCCATCACGAGCCCACTGCTGTTGGTCGCAGAGGGCAGGCCAAGGATGCCGGCGCCGATCGACGACGATGCCAAGTTGAAGGCACTGCCGAGAACGCCACCAGGCGGAACGATCTTCTGCACGCACCGCGAGATGGAAGCGATGAAGCCGCTCTCTTCCGCCTCCTTCACCTCCATCGCCTCGGGGACCTCCTGCTTCAGCTCTTCACTGCTGCTGGACGGGTTCTCCTCATTTTGGACCTCGTGGGACGAGGGCTCGACAATGCCCTCTTGCTCGTCGTGCACCACGGGGACGTTCGATGGTTCCATAGGATTCATGATGCTCGAAACTCCTGCCCTTGGGCTATTTCTTCACTGTCCGGTAGCTGGCAGTTGTGTGTATGTGCGTATTTTTCCACCTTGGGATTCCTCCAGAAATAGGGGAGAGGTAGAGGGAGCACATGAGAGTCACCAGGGTAGCAGCAGTGAGGGAGGTGGGGGGTGGATCAAGAGAGAGAGCGGGAGGGGGTGGGAGGTGGATGTTATGCAGTGCCGGTGCCGCTGTTGCGAAGTAAAATTTATTGGCTGCCCGAAAACAACAACAAGAACAAATAGAGCGAGTACNAACTCCTGCCCTTGGGCTATTTCTTCACTGTCCGGTAGCTGGCAGTTGTGTGTATGTGCGTATTTTTCCACCTTGGGATTCCTCCAGAAATAGGGGAGAGGTAGAGGGAGCACATGAGAGTCACCAGGGTAGCAGCAGTGAGGGAGGTGGGGGGTGGATCAAGAGAGAGAGCGGGAGGGGGGTGGGACGTGGATGTTATGCAGTGCCGGTGCCGCTGTTGCGAAGTAAAATTTATTGGCTGCCCGAAAACAACAACAAGAACAAATAGAGCGAGTACGCTACACCAGGGATGCGGCCTTTCATGTTGGCCCCGTGCAGTCCTTCCGGCCTTATTCCCCATACGCACCAAAGTGTACGAAATTTACATTGTGTATCCCGCTCTGAGACCAAGTGTCACTCTCGTCGGACTCATCGCTGAGCGGCTGCCGCTGGAAGTACTCAGCAGTGCCGTACAGAATCACAGAGTCCCCTCTAGCTGGGGGCCCGGGCGAATCCCCTAACGTCTCGGCTCTACCTACGGGGGGCGCCCCAGCAGCAGTCGCAGCATCAACGCTGTACTGTGTTGCTGCGGCGGCGTCTGGACGCAAAAACAAAAATAAAAAAGGACTGGCGTCCATACGCCTATTCTCACCACAACGTATTTTTCCCATTTCCAGTGTGGGGGACAATTATCTACGGGGGAGCCAAAATCCAATAAACAAAAGCAAAAACATTTTGGGGGTTTGTAACCTATTTGTAGGGGGTGGGCGAAGATGTTTATGTACCCGGGTCAGACCCGGTTTATGACAAAAATACCGAAAAAATCCGTTTTTTTCCCTCGTTTTCCGTTCATCAACTATGTTTCCAGCTTAATCACACGTTCCATGTGGCTTCATTCGTTCCATGTTTAAAGTAACGTATTGTGTAATAGCTGGAGTTTAACCCACAGCAGTGGCGTGGATCGTGGCACCCGTGCCGANTACACAGGGGCGCCAAAATCCAATAAACAAAAGCAAAAACACTTTCGCTACTTGTAACCTATTTGTAGGGGGTGGCAAATATGTTTATATACCCGGGTCAGACCCAGTTTATGACAAAAATACCGAAAATAATTCGTTTTCTTCTATCTTGCGTTGATGAACAATGCTTAGAGCCTAATCACACGTTCCATGTGGCTTCATTCGTTTCGTGTTTGAAGTAGCGTATCGTAGAAGAGAGGGAGTTTAACCCACAGCAGCGGCGTGGATCGTGGCGCACGTGCCGAAGACGACGCCGATGACACCGACTATCAACAGCACGTAGGTGA